TGTTTAAATTAGATATGTAATAAATATATTTATATCGCAACGAAAGTGAAGAAAATCCATGATTCTTTAAATCTTTATTATTCTATTTATAAAACATTTGTAATTAAAATACTCAAAATAACTTCCAGTATATATTTATTTAAATAAATCACGTAAAGAAACGTCATTACATGAACTTTATCATATAATAGGGGTCATGACTCATGGAATTATAAACAGCGTTTGTGTTCTAACAGCTGTTCAATAGCAATTCCTCAAAAGCCAGTTCTCCTTGAAACGGTCTTATTGATAAAACAGGACTTGTGAGGTCACAGTCGAAACCATCACTGAACTCAAACACGTAACATGTTCTATAATTTATATAATCGATATCGTCTCGCCATTGGAACAATAACGATTTTTTTTTATCGTAACGTTAAGGCTTAAATCTATAAGTAAACAATCACAAATTATCGGAAGAAGAGAAATTATTTATAAAATAACTATTTGGAATTAATTCATCATATTGGCAAATGTTACTGTGCGATTTTTTTTGCCTTTTTCTGTAATTTGATTTTTATCTGATAACTTGATCGGCTTACTTATAGCAAAAACCAGAACACGTAAATTATGATAGCAATAAAACCCAGTAATTCGTTGCAAAACAGTAAAAGATATGTACAATATTTTATAAAACTAATAATTATTATATTTATAATAAATGTTACAACGATTCAATATCTCGCAAAAAGTATTACGAAGTATAATAAAATTACAGGATTAAGTTAAAAATGCTAACATATTATATTACCATTTTAAATATTATACTGCTGTCTGGCTTCTTGTTACAGAAATGTTAGGTAGAGTTCGAACATTTAATATTTAGAAATTAATGCAATGTTAATCTATTAAACTAATAAATACCTTTTTAATGATATATTACGACTTTTATATTCACGTGAATAAACGCAATAAATCATGGATACTTATCTGACTTGCTTAAACTTCTTAATAAAACAACGCGGGAAGATTCACACTCTAACAAAAGGTCGGCGTGAAGTAGAAGAGTTTACACGTTTGCGTTATGTCAGCTGATTAAAATATCTCATATCAAGAAGGCTGGCAAAGCAACTGCAATCCTACGGGTGTTGTGAATACCCATAGGCGGTGGTAAACACTTAACGAATTTTGTATGGTTGAAGCAACTTTTACCAATTACTTATCGTGCATAAAACGACGATACTAACTTTGTCAACGCGAATGTCTTAATTGGGCTATATGAATAATTGTGAAATTGATCCAATTTTGCTTGATTGCGACATTTGTTTTTTCAAAAGACAAAACTACACTTTTTGTTAATCGAGAATTTTTGTCAGAATAACCTTGGAGCGATTTTTATAACTGCCTACTTGCTATGCTAGAAAAAGACACGAAAATCACTTTTCTTTTTGTAAGCAAAGCTTTTATACACATAATATACAGGATATGTGCTCTCAAACTGACGATCCCAGCGCTCTACAAGGTCATGAGAGCCTATTAATACTTTTTTGATCTTGCGGAAACTAAAGCTACATGATTATCAAACATACCAGATGTTAGTTTATGGCGTCATTTAAAACATTATCTCTAAATAAACTTCTTCGAGCCTGTGGAAACATGTGCTTCGACTAAAAATATTCAAGCAAACATTACTGCAAGTTTTTACATCACATGTACGACGCATAATTAAATCTGTCTGGATTTTAATCATTTTTATAGGCAGGTAGGTGTTACAATGGACGTAACATATTCCATATTCAAAATGTTTCTAACTCTTACTCGGTAACAAGCTCTCTTGGAAATTTAAGCTTAGTGTTAGTGTTAGTGAACATCACTTGCGATCTCGGTCTGTCGTCAGAGATTAATCTTGTGACATATTTTAAGAAAGTAAACAAAAAACCAATATGCAACGTAACAAATAGATAATAGTAACTTCGACCATGTATTAAGTGCACTAAGTTTCATGTCCGATCATACTTATGTAACTATATGGGTCAGAAATAATTCTGAAGATTATTATTAGAAACATTGGCAATAGATAAGTTGAATGAATCTTTACATGAGACTACGTTGCTCTAACGCATCGGACGTAAAAAAAACCGGCCAAGTGGGAGTCGGACTCACGAAGAGTTCTGTTCTGGAAGCCCTACTTAAATATGTTTTTATAGTTTTTCAGTATTTGTTGTTATAACGGCAACAGAAATACATCATTTGTGAAACTTTTATCTGTTTTACTATTACGGTTACTGAGATACAGCCTGGTGAAAGACGGACGGACAGAAAGACAGACAGATAGCGGAGTCTTAGTAATAGGGTCCCGTTTTACCCTTTGGGTACGAACCCCTAAATAGATATAAATCCTATATTTCACGTGAGTCTTCTGTGACTCAATAATTTTACCCTTTGTCAATCCCAGATCGCTTATCTCAGGAATACAGTTAATTATAAAAAAAATCACAATTGATTAATCAAGTGTAGGAAGTTGTTACCCGAAAATGCTCACTCTGGTGCTAATAATTTGTTAGTTTCTTTTAAAAACCTTAGGATAACATTATCCTGTGTTATAAGGAAGTTTTACATACATAGATTTCACGTGGACAAACACCCAGATGCGAAACAATTATTTGTGGGTCACACAAATAGTTGTCCCGTGTGGGAATCGAACCCACGACCCCCGACACCGAAGGCAATACATTAGCAACTGCGCTACGGAGTCCTCAAATAATTGCTGGAAGTTTTCAGAAAATCAAAAGAATTATTTAGATATAGATTTAGTGTGTGGGTTTAGAACACAAGCATTACAAGCAGAAGCTAAGTACTTCGCCCACGAGGTGATATGTTCGTCAATATATCCTGACTAAATAAAACGAAGAGAAGTAAAGTTTTAAGATGTTTTACACGTGAGCAACTTTATGTATGCCTCTAGTAATATTTAAGGTGAAGTAAGTTATACTCGGGAACTATGCACATACCGTTTTGTTATTACATTATGGTTCAAAATCTACTCTCATCTTTGAAAGTAGGATTTCGTAATTCTGTTGTTTAAGACTTTTTATTGCTTTTGATTCCTACTAATATAAAATCTTGCAAGAGAAAAAAAATGCGACGTTATTTTTAACAGACTTCAAAATTATCAATTCGATTGGTATATTTTTTTTCGATTTATGTAGACCGATTACGCGGAGATTAATGATCCGGTTTACGCGATTCTTCTTTATTTTGATGCAGAATAGTTGCCATTTTGTCCCATAAAAATTTTAAGTGGTTTGGCCCAGAAGTTTTAATTTTTTGAACATTTTTACAAGATTTTATTTAGTTTCATAGATATTATATTGTTACGATTACGGTTGACAACATATCCGTCTGAAATATCCGTCGATGACAGTTTGGAATAAAGTATATGATATTATTTTAAATTATTAATGTAGTTGAAAGAAGTTCCGAATTTCAGAACTTTTTTAGTTTATAGAACAACCTATTACAGACACTAAAAAGTTAAAAAAAAACTATTTAAAAAAACCGACTTCAAAAACTAAAAGGTATATAATAACTTAAATAAGTTTTAATTTAATAACCTCTTACGCAAACCTAATACATTTTATATTAATATAATTCTATTAATTGTATGAGCTACCTATTGATAGGTTTGTAGTCGGTGCCAAGCCAAATGTAATATAGCTAAAGTTTTAATATAGCTATAGTTACTCATTCAGGTATCAATATTATATACTTAGGTTACATAAAATATAAGTAATATTTTTATCATAAATTTTTCATCTGTTTCACATCAATTCACATTGTTCTTTAGGTTTATTTACGTAGGTTTACTTTTAGTGTAGGAATTTCATTACAATAAGTAAGCTGTTTATAATATTAAGTTTTATTTTGTTTATGGCTTGGCACCTAAGCTTGGACATTATCCACGCTTTTGCACCGGCCCTACGGGTAAGTTATTTACACCAATGTATGTAAGCTACGTGTAAATGAGTAACCGTTTCCAAGGTCAAACGGCCGCGTGCCGCTCGCCCGCGCCGTACGCGACTACAGCGACCAACAGATTGTTTATTTATATTGGATCGACGTTTTCCAACGTATGTTTCTTTAAATATGCACTAAGAAGCTATTTATAATTCATAAAAGGTAAAGTCCATTACAACTTAGTTGCTCTGTACTCTCGTACAAGATGCTTCTATATTGATTATTTTCAAGATTAAACAATTTAACTTTCCATTAATTTCAATTCAACAGTGATAGTTATACTTTTTATTATTATTTATCATAATTTTCTGATAGCAGTCATTTTTAAATTAGGTTAAACGTTAGTTCCAAAAAAACATGGGAATTGATTCATGTTTAGTGTGGTGATGGTGAATGGCGTGACACACTCTAAAGACACAAAGATGATGCAGACGTTTGCGTTCAATAATTAAATTATAATAAGATTATAATATAACATAATTTTAATCAACTGTTTTTGAAGGCCGCAGGGTTATTATTTAAATCTAGCTCACACTTGATCTTATGTAATAATTACTAGGTATTTATTAAGTTCTAGAAACAATCAGTGAGTAACAGTTAAATATATGTGGTGTTATTCATAACTAATGCATACTTTAATGCGTACATTCATTAGCATAACATTAATATCACCATTTCTAAAAAAAAACTTTTATTTTTACCGATAGTTTAAGTGTAAGGCTGTTATGGTCATATTAATGAGGCGTCAAGAACTGCCCATATCTACTCATATAAAACTACCGAAAAGTTTACCACTTTTGATCATGATAGAAAATAACATAAACATTGTCATTTGTAAACAATCTAGACATAGGTCATTCAAATGATTAATATAAAAAAAAAAGAAAATAAAGATTCCGTGTCGAATAATATAAGAAAAGTGAAACAAAAAATGTCCGCGTAAAGTTTGCCGAGTAGTAACCGTAAAGCTCGGATTCATAAACAATTGTGAATAACAAACTTACCTTCAAATGCGACCGAACGAAGAGCAAAAACCACACGCGACCCGTACTGTGCCGTGGAGTCGACTGGGCGGCTTACAGCTCACTCCCGCGCACCATCTCTTGATCCGACCCATCTAGTATAGTCCCATATCAAAACGCGAGAATATTAAGGCACACACCCGACCGTTGCAAAATCATTAAGAGCGTTTTGCAAGAGGCAAAACGAATCACTTGGCCCCTTCATTTTCCTTTATACGGCCAATGACATGCATGCTTTTGTCCGTTGCGTTTTCTTCCTAGCTACTACGAACCTATAAAAAATAAACCTGATGAGGTCTGACATATCGATCATCTTTTGATCATATTACTAGGCAAATACCTTGCCTAGTAATATGATCAAAAGATGATAGAAAATGTGTTCTGGAAGAAATTCTCGTCAAAGCTTAATCCACTCAACAACATAAGGTGAGTTAATCCTTAAACATTCTTGCAGTTGTCTCTGATAACTGCCATAGAATGATTATGATAGTTATTAGAATATGAGGGCTTTCGAAATATTGTAGCATGTACGCAAAGCAAGCCTTAGAAATTCATATCAGATATTACACATTTTTTACTTATACTTATATTGGGTTCAAAAATCCGGTATTGAGCGACACGCAAATTCTTATTTCTTTTGTGACATTTAAGGTCGATAAAAGTAATTAAAATCAGCCTCTGCCCACCCTATTACGGAATAGAAAAAGTGAAAATTTGTCACTCTTTCTGTGCTGTTATCATCTAACATTAGGGTTATCCAGGTGGAATTTAACCTAAAAAAGTAAAGTAGCAGCTTATATATGTCCCACAGCTGGGTAATAGCCTCCTCTGTACAGAGGGTATTAGGGCATTGACCATCACGCGGCCCCACTGCGGAGACACATCATCATCATTTCAGCCTGTTTGAGTCCACTGCTGAACATAGGCCTCCCCCATAGACTGCCATGAAGTACGATCCTGAGCCACCTGCATCCATCGACGTCCCGCACATTTGCACAGGTCGTCACTCCATCTAGTGAGGGGGTCGTCCTACACTGCGATGGCCAGTACGAGGCTGCCACTCGAGAACCTTTCTTCCCCAACGGGGATCGGTTCTACGAGCTATATGGCCGGCCCATCGCCACTTCAGCTTGCTAATCCTCTGAGCTATGTCGGTTACTTTGGTTCTACTGCGGATGTCTTCGTTACGAACTCTATCACGCAGAGAAATAGGAGCACGAGCATGGCCCGCTCCATAGCTCGCTGAGCGACTTTTGAGCTTCCTCATACGGCCAGCAGTGATGGACCACATCTCGGTTCCGTAGGTCATACCTGGCAACACACATTGATTGAAGACTTTGGTCTTCAAACATTGAGGTATATTCGACGAGAAGATTTGCCCATCCGAGTTGGATTCGCCGATTGACCTCTGCGTCGAAGTTGGACTTAACTAGCCGGACTAACTGTCCTAGGTAAACATACTCATCAACAACTTCGACCTCTGTGCTCCCAACAACAACCGGTATAGTCGTGACATGGACATTAGACATGATCTTCGTCTTGTCCATGTTCATCTTAAGGCCCACCCGTTGGGAGACACTGTTGAGGTCATTGAGCATACCACCCAGGTCCTCCAGCGATTCTGCCACGATGACTATATCGTCGGCAAATCGAAGGTGGGTAATGTATTCGCCATTGATGTTAATACCTCGTCCTTTCCAGTCCAGAAGCTTGAAAACATCTTCCAACGGAGCGGTGAAGAGTTTCGGGGATATGACATCACCCTGTCTTACACCCTTCTGCAGTTGAATAGGTTTTGTATTACTGGACTGTACTTGGACGGACATCGTAGCCTTATTATACAAACACCTCAGCACTGCGATATACCGACAGTCAATTTGGCACCACCTGGAGTACCGCCCAAATTTTGACAGAATCGAAGGCTTTCTCATAGTCCACATACGCTAGGCACGAAGACAGATTATACTCTTCGGTCTTCTGTATAATCTGCCGCAAGGTGTGTATGTGGTCTATGGTACCGAAGCCTTATCGGAATTTGGCTTGTTCGGATGCTGGAAGTCGTCGAGTCTGGAAGCGAGACGATTCAAGATGACTCTTGAGAACAGCACATAGACGCGGCTCAGAAGGGATATCGGTCTATAGTTCTTCAAGAGAGCGTTATCGCCTTTCTTGAAGAACAGCACCACCACACTTCTGCTCCACGCCTCTGGTGTAGCACCACCCTGAAGGACGGAATTAAAGAGCCTCTGAAGGACTACAAGTATCGGTTCTCCACCCGCTTTCAGAAGCTCTGCTGTAATTCTGTCCTCTCCCGATGCTTTGCCATTCTTAAGATGGTCAAGAGCCATTCTAATCTCGCTCAGACTGACGTCAGAGATATTCTCGGAATAGTGTCGGGTAAGCTTTGCTCTTGGGTCGTAACTCACACATGTGTGTGGCTCCAACGACGATGTGTACAGCTGTCCATAGAACCTCTCAATCTCACTCAAAACCTCTGGTCTACTGGAGATGACAGCCCCGCTGTCAGTCTTCAACTTAGTCAGCTGGCTTTGTCCGATAGACAGGTCTTTGGCGAAGATTTTTGAGCCTAGGTTCAGCTCTATAGCTTTCTCAATACGAGCTGTATTGAAGCTGCGTAAGTCTCGCCGCATGTATTTGGAGATCTGCCTATTAAGCCGCCTGTAATCTGACATGTCAATTAAAGACTGCAGCCGCATCTCACGTCTTTTTCCCAAGAGGTTAAGAGTGTGATCGGAGAGTTTTTGCGTTCTATTTGTGCGGCGGGCCTTATAAAATTTAAGGCCCACGGCATGGACAGTTTCCACGAGCTTAGCGTTAATATCGTCCGCCGTGCTGCAATTTTCTAGGCATTGGAAGCGATTATGTAGCTCAAGCTGAAAGCTTTCGGAGTTCTGGATATGGGCACGAGATGGTCGGAGTGTGGACTTCATTAGACAAGATCTTTCCAGCCTGATGTTAATATTCAATGTGACTCTCACCAATCGGTGATCACTGCCGGTCTTCACCCTTGTGTTCACAGGGACATCATTGAATATTTGCCGTTTGTTCGTCATAATGAAGACTATCTCGTTTTTTACAGAACCATCGGGGCTAATCCAGGTCCACTTTCTGTGCGGCTGCTTTTTGAAGAAGGAGTTCATCATAAAGAGTCCCTCCTTCTCCATAAAGTCAGCCAGCTGCTGACCTCTTGGGTTCCACTCAGCTCATCGTCTTTCCTTTTGCCTAGTTTTGCGTTGGAGTCTCCCATTAACAGCATGTACTGAGTTTTGGAGGAATGTATGGCTAGTGATATATCCTCATACATTGCCTCCACCTCATCATCGGGATGTGTCGACGTTGGTGCGTAAACCTGTATGACCTTCAGCGAATACCGTTTAGATATTCTGAGTATAAGGAACGGAACCCTCGACGATACACTCTCGATTTTAACAACGTTGTTAATGAGAGACTTGTGGACGATAAATCCGACACCTCCTTGGGACAGTTGGCCGCCCTCCCGGTGGTAAAACAGGTTACCGGATTCTAGGATTATCGTGTCCTCCCCCTGTCTTCGGACTTCAGATAATCCTATTATATCCCACCGCAGCCTGTTCACCTCTTCTTCCAGCTCTGTAATCTTCTCGTCAGTCCTCAATGTTCTTGCGTTGTATGTTGCCAGGTCCAGTTACCGTCGTTGGTAGCCGACTTAGAACCCCCTGCCCTGCCGTTACCATGACCGCTACCGTAGCCAGGAATAGCAGGGCCGCCGGGGACTGGGGGCCGCACATTTTGGACTTTCATCATGAAGGGGGGTTTTGCCTGGCAAGTGGGTTGGCAGTCGCAGTTCCTCCAGACTCGTACATATAACGCTGCTGCCCGTTATTGGCCTGGCTATTTACGGTCTGGAGAGTCGAGATGGTTATCCCGCCATCTATCGGTGGCCACCAGATGTTGGCTTGTCCCTTAGTCGCCTTTTACGACACCTACTGCGGGATGAGTTGGGGTGGCTTATTCTTATGCCGGCACCACACGGCTTACACGGAGACTCATATCTCAGAAATATTTTTTTGTTATTGTTTCATAAATATGCAGGCTTCTTCACGATGTTGTCCTTCACCGCCGAGCACGTGATGAGTCAGCACTTAAAATTAACTATTTCATTAGTGCCGGCGTAGGCGATCGAACTCAGGTTGCTCGAGTACATGGAATTAAAAGCGACCACCCGAACAATCAGCTATCACGACTATTGGACTATTTTCACCACCCCATACGCTAGTCATATACAAGTCTTGACCGTTGATTTGTAAATTAAACTAAGTAGAATTTTGATTGGGAAAGTTTTATTATAATCCTCTGTAACAGATTTTTAAATCATGTACAATTCGAGTTGTAGATTTTCTCTTTTTTATCTTATATAGAAAAGATTTGCCCTTACTTTAGGATAATATTGTTCTGTGTTGTAAGGACCTAATTTCACGTGACCCCACGACCTCAGACGCCGGAGCCCTGCAAATACCCTTGCAACTGTGCCACGGAGTCATCAAATTTAAACGTCAAAACAGAAACTAACATAATAAAAAAAATTATCCTTCACGGGACAAGTATGTGTCACAGACAAACAATTCTTGTTAACGATGCTGAGGTGACAGGAGACACTTCGGATATTATCCGGATCTCAAAGGTTGACCGTGTGAAATTTGTGTATTCAATTCTTACCTGTAACACAGTATTTGATTCTGATACAACAAGGGAATGTTTTTAAAAGCTAGTGAAGTAGCTAGCCACGAAACATTCTGATTTCTGTAATTATTCCTTATGACATTTATTATTCCTTATCCTATTGGCAACACAAAAATAATGTGTAAATATGGATAAGTAGTTTATGTAATAAAACTGTTAAATATTAGTTTTTTTTTAAACCTTAAATGTACCTTCATGAAAGTATCGTTAATATCGTAGTACATAATAAAAGCGATCAAATAATTTTCTCGTTTCTTATTTATTATGGAAAAATTTTCAAGTAGAATATTTAAAATAAACTAAAAAAGTAAATTTAAACGTAAATTCTAATGTTTCATCTTAAGTGCAGAGGATAGCTCTATTTGTTTTAGAAATTAAAATGCATACCACATGGTGTCGTGGCCACAGAAGTGCCGAGATTTAGACTGGCTTAAACCAGAGTCGTTTCTTGATAAATCATCATCA